CCCCCCCCCCCCCGAGGAACAGGAAGGCCCAGGTTGGAGCAGGAGAGCCGAACAGCTGCCAAGGGCCCTGCCTGCCACCATCTGCTCAGGAGCTGACAGGAAGGTGCAGCTTTAGCTGCGGTTTTTATTAGGAATGAAAAACTGACATCATCAGCAAACATCTAGCAAATGGGCTGTGTGCGTGTGTGTCTGTGTGTGTCTGTGTGTGTGTGCGTGCATGGGTGCGCCTGCAGTCAGAGCCATCCGTGCAAATTCGTCATCTTACGTGACAGAGATAAATCAGGCTAGGATAAAGCTGTGAAATTGAATATGAATGCCTTTTTTTTTAAGGATATTTAGAAGTTGAACAGATGGAGCAGAAAGCGGGTAGAAGGTGCAGGCACAGGGTCTGTCAGTGGGGAAGGGGCTTCTGCATCCCCCGAGTGGGGCTGGGGCTCGGCCTCTCTCTTCTGTGCCAGCCAGCCTGCGTGCAGGATGAGGTTTGCCTCTCACATCGCGTTGCCCCCTTTCCTTCCAGGAGACCCTGCCCCCCCCACACTTCACCTTCCCAACAATCCAGCGGAGTGGGGAGGGGCCTTCAGCCGCCCACCAAGTAACAGGTCAGGTGGGATTAAGCAGAATCTCCCCAGGTTTAGCCCAGCCCACTCCCTGCCCAAGGTCGCCGGCGGCATCTGCGACAGACCTCAATGGCACGAAAACGATGCCACCTGCACCTGCCCGCCCACCTGCCCACAAAGGACACAGCTGAGGGTGGGCTTGCAATATGCCGCGTCATTTGCATCAGGCCGTTTGCCCACCCCTGCCCTGGGACCCTAGAGAAGCTGGAGAGCCAGCCACCTGGCAGCGGTTAATCCTATCTCCCCATAGGATCTTTTCAGTAAGTCAGATCCCTTTCTGGAGATCTACCGGATCAATGATGACGGGAGTGAGCAGCTGGTCCACCGGACTGAGGTAAGAGTCCCCTCCTAGGCCCCGGGGACAAATTCCCCATGCCCCCTGGCCGGGGGGAGGGGGGAGAGGCGGGATTCAGGAGCACTGCTGCTGCTGCTGCTGCTGCTGCTGCTCATTGTAAGCTTCTGGTCCTCATGGTGAAAGGGAGGCCTGGAAGCCTTCCTTCCTTCGGGCAGCTGAGGAGAAGTGCCCGGAGGTGCCCCGACTGCTTCTCAAAACCATGTGTGGTTCCCAGAAGGTGGCGGAAAGGGACCCAAAACCTCAATCAGCCAGAAAGGCAAAGGAGAAAAGGCCTTAGAAGAGAACAAGAAGTCAAACGGCCACCCTAGAAAAATGAACCTGAAACTCAGTAAACTTGGAAATAGTAATTAGGCAAAGAGGCAAAATTAAGGCATTCAGAGCTACTGCATGAAACTGATGCGTCATTTCTGATTAAAGAAATTACCTTCCCCGTCCCTGTTTCGCGGCAGAGTGCGACAGGGTGACAGCCACCCAAGGGCTGCGACCGAGCAGCCATCTCCTTGAAAAGCCACCTGGTGAGAGGGGCTCCCCTGCCCATCCTCCCAGCCCCCTCGTGCGGCGAGGTTGCAGGTGGAAGAGGAGGGGGGGAGGGGAGGGGAGGGGAGGCAGCTTCCCTGAAGTGGGCAGAGGCAGCCCGGGACACTGGTCCTGCGCACTCGCCCTGCTCCAGCCCACTGCCACGATACCCACGGAAGCCCTGGCGCTGGAGAGCCCTCGGGGCTCACGGGCCCCCTCCCGAGGCCTTCCCCCCCCCACTGCC